GAAAATCATTGGAAATTAAATGTCAGACAATGATTTTTCTAGTCCATTCCTCAAATATACGATAGATAGATCCTTCTCTACACAAGATTACAGCAGATCACCGACAATCATTCACCTATCATTTAGCCGATATTACGCTAAACGATAATTTACTAACAATATATACTTAAAAACAAGTGAGCAGCACCAAGTACACGGTTAACCGGAATCGTATGATATTGGGTGCGTTCTACCTAGAGATGCAGGCGAATCGTCCCAATGGTTGCCGTAACTAGTTACGACATAAGTTTTAACTAGTCACGGCTTAAGCCGTAACATCATTGGGACGATTCGCCTGCACCTCTAGTTCTACCCTATGTTAAATGTAATACCATACTAATCCTTAACCCTAATGATTACCGGATCAGTATGCGGTCGGGTATTTTTATATCCATATAATACAGATCATATACAGAATTGCAAGCTTATTAGTCCTTAATAACTACCAAATTTTTTTGGAATGTATATCGTTTGAGGGAAAATGCCAAGAATCTGGTTGTATATCATTCTAAAACACGACCTTCTAATTTTGTGTAGTCCCCGACTGAACTATACAAAAATAATTCATTTTTTAATGATGCATGGACATAACATGTACAGAAATCTATATAATATTTGATAATACGTATATACCATAATATTTGATAGTACATATATAATTCCCAATTCTAGGCCAAACAATTGCACACAAGTTCCTAATCAAAAATATAAAAAGATCCACCGGGATATTACAAATTTTTTACTAAAGTCTGCAAAAAAAAAGATGACCCAGCTGGATTAGAAAACCAAATGTCTGTTATAGCATAGCCCAAGTAGTAATTTTGAATACAAAGTTATACCATACACTATAAAGTTGAAATCATTATTCGGCCAACAAAGTCGACTGTTTCAGGATTTCATGTGGGTCAATCGATTAACATTAAACGACCAATCGGTGAGTCAGCCGTTTAATTAACTAGAATAAAAAAGAATTTATAATGATTAATCGACTAATCAAATCAATGTTTAGTCAATTGATGACTAAGCCGCAAAAAATTTTCTAATCCTTAAAAATCTGATATTGTCTTACAAATATTAACCAAAAAACATGGATCTAAAATAGTGGTGGGAATAAAGTGTTTAGGTGCAATAAGTGTGGGGTAGTGATAAACGATGATCTTAAATATGAGACCAGATTTAGTGAACCTGTTATATATGACGCGCGCCAATTAGATATTTTCAATTTGATTATACGTAACTTATATATTGTGTATTAACTATTCAATCCATCTGGCAACCGTTGTCATGTGTTTAAAAAAAAAGACAATTTATTTATGATCATATGCATGGTCTACGCAAGTACCTATTATATATGTTATACATAATGTAAACAATCAAGTAATCGGAATAGTATTATATTGTTAATCAACGAGGACAATGCATATTCAATTGGGGAATCATCAAGCTTTGTTGCATGTTTGCATTTTGGATGTACAAGATGTGCATATATAAATAAGCATGGTTAATACCAAGTTTTTGATAATTTCATTTTGACCTTTGATACCAGTAATCAGAAAGAAGATGAATTCGCAGCGGAATGGAAAAGGGATATCATTAATTCTTCATCGAAAACAATATTCCAAATCATATTCAGAATTTACGTGCGAATCATCCCCAACAAGTCCTAAATCTATTACTGATTTCTTGTCACATAACGGCCCGATTGTTGATTATGTTAGATGGCAGGATGTTAGTGAGACATCAATCGAAGCCACGGAACTGTTTTCAAAGATGCACCATGAAATTATATTAAACATCTTGAAAGAGCTGGATTTTACTGATATTTTGGCCTTTTGCATGGTAAATTTACAACATATCGTAAAGTGGTCTTTATTAACCACATATTTATCTTTAGGGAATTGATATTTCCACACCCTTTTTTGATATTGCAACACCCCTGCTAACTCTAAACTACCCTAACCAAACCCTAATGATTTATATTGATTTTTATTAACAGTGGTGTGGCAATATCAAAAAAGGGTGTGGAAATATCAATTTCCTATCATTATTAACTGCATATATATTTATATATTTCTTCATTTTTTGTTTTTTTTTAAAAAAAATAGGTAAATAGAAGATGTAGATTACACACTCAAGATCCCTATTTTTGGCATTTTATCCTAAGGCGCGATTGGAAAGATTGGATAGGATTCGAAAAAGTTTTAAAACGCTATAATATAGAACCAGAATTAACCGAAAAATTCAAATCAATTGATGACGATACTCTGAATTTAAAACGAGCTTACATGACATTAGGTACATAACTATTAAACATTTTTTATTAGTGTTTTAATCTGCATGTAAATGCCATAAATAATATGCATGTATATTTTATGTATTAGCAACCTTTAAATACCCAATGTCAGAAAGACGTGATGAATCAACGGATGGCACGGGAAGTTGGTGGGACAATGAAGAATTTAAACTAATTCCTTCTAAAGAAAGGTATTTCTTGTTGCTATTAAAATTTATCATGTACTAGAATCAGGATTTCAAGATTTCTCATCTTGGAACCCCATTTTTTATAGTGTATTTGGTAGTGTAATAAAACAAAGAACCAAATTGTTTCAGGTAAATTTAATATAATGATAAACATTATAAAATTAAATGTAATAGATAATGTAAATTTAATATATATATGTTTTTGTTTAAATCGAATTAATAGCTTCAAGTTTGTCTAAAATATCCATCGCGAGGATGGTATGACGTTGTGTGGAAACTGAAAATTGATAAATTAATCGGAGAACCTGAATTCGGATTCTATACTACCATAGACACGATGGTAACCTTTGAGTTAAAACCTGTTTACGTGAATGTTAATATCAAATTAATTCGAGTCTATAAACTGGTTTTATAATTAGGACCTTAAAACTCAAAATACTTCTAGGCAAGTCTATAAATACATAGCTCAAAAATCCGATTTCACTCGGGTTATTGGCAAAGGGTGGTTTTGTTTCATCCTACCTTACCCTATCCTCATCGAACCTTATAAATCTGTACGAAACATTAAAGACATGAATTTACGTAAAACTACCAATTGTTTATTCGAATTTACCACTTTTAATAAGAATGCTCGATGGGGGCATTCCTCAGATAATGGATTCGTATGTTTTATATAAACAAAGTTATTATTGATTTAAATTTTATTTTCTTGACCTAATTTCTTTTTTGTTTTTTAAAAAACGAATAGACGATTGATTATGTAGCATTGAGACCACATGTTCATTATGATATTCCTCGCGGAAATCGGATCAGTTCCGGAAGCACTAGTTCAAGAAGTAGTGATGGCTCAAAAAATGTCTCAAGGAGTAGGCTGATACAATATAGAGCGGGTCAGCTGTTAGAAACTATTAGGAATTCAAAGTTGTTCGATTAAGCTTATTAAATGACCCCTTTTCTTTTATTTATATATCTTTAGATATCAATATTAATTATTTATATCTTAACATGTATTATATGACCATTATTTATTTGTGTAGATTGTACAGCGGTGTATTTTTAGTATTTGTAACAATTATTAATTAACGCAATTAACGTTAATATATAGTTAGTATATAATATAACAAGTTAATATTATAAACCAAAAAAAAAACATGAACCCTCATGTTAAATTTATTCTTTAGTTAATATTTGATTGTTAATGTTAACAGTTTTTCTGTTTATCGTGTTTCATGAATAGAAAACATGAACTAATATGGAAACAATATATATTGTTAAGTATAAATATCGATGCGACTTTATGTATGTACAGTACAGTGCACAGTATGTATACAATCCGCAAGAATAGTTATGCTGTTTCAATGTTTTCGGGCTTAAAACGAATCTTAGATCAATAGCATTCATTTAAAATCAAAAATATTTAATGGATCTGCCGTTCTTAAAAACTGGCGTCGTACGATTTATTGATTACACTATACAATATATACAATATATACAATCTATAAACAATCTATACAATGGATATAATGAATAGCTAGAACTCTTAAAAAATTTTTACAAGATAATGTCACGCCCCTAACACCAGTATTTTCAAGAACCGTTGATAATTTGGGCTTAATGCTAGTTCAAAAACTTATAAAAAAATTGGATTATCGTTCATCTTCTCTCTATATCGTTATGACTTGTAATTTTCGGTACTATCATCGTATCATGATTATATCTCGAGAACTACTGGTCTATTCTAGGTAAATGTAGGCTTAAATGAATCCTACGATGTGTAGTATTCGTTTAAACACCAAATCATTAAAGACAGATCGATTGTTCTCTAACATTCTTTTTCTAGATTTTTATGTCGATATACACTCCAAAACAAAAAAACCATTTACTACTATTTAAATGTTACGGACTATAATGAATATAATTCCACATAATATTATAATATTGATTGCTCTTGATTCGACTTTGGTTGTGGTTTTCGTCAGGTTTAACTGTGTATCTATCATCGGAATTATAGGCTAAAGTAATAACGAGAATAATACTAGTACGTACTAATTACTATATCGATCTATATCGATATATCAATATATAATTCTCATTATCGTTATTATTACTATTATTATTATTATTAATTATCGCTTTTTACAAATCTTTGGGAATTCCCTTTTGTCTCTAATTCAAATAAGGAAACGAGGCATAAAGGCCTGTTAAAAAAAAAAATTTTTAATTGTTGACCGGAATTATCAAATCTATGGATTTAATTTTGGCCAAGATCACGAGATAATAATATAAACATTCTTTTGGTGCGAATGTATGACGACTTTTTTTTCCTCCAACATAATTGCAACGAGCACCCTAAAAGGCTAGCTAATTACTCTCTGCTTTCAATCTTCCAAAGCTATCAAAGTATTAGTCAAATTTTCGAAAAAATAGATATAATATAGACGATCCGCATATATATAACAAACTCTGTTTTACTTATTACGATGGGCGGGCCTTACTTTGAAGACAATTCTCACATATTTTTTTCTCAAGGAACGACAGATCGTGAGAATGAGGGTAGTGATGAATATATTGACAAAGCTTATAAGACTCCAAAATTACTTTCAAAGTCTGAAAAGGGGAAGGAGGCTGTACAAAATGGGCGAATCGAAAAAAAAAAAAATGGAAAGCCTAGATTTTATAGCGTGGGTTCCCCCTTTTTTATTTTTTCTCAAGAAGAGAGATTTTGTCTTATTCATTGTTCAAATTCCACGTGATCATTAATAATCTCCTTTATTACTATAGAAAAAACCAATGCAGGATGAGAAAAGAAAAATTATAGCGAAACAAAGTCTCGCTGCAATATGTAGGTGATAGGTAGTTCATGATCATTATTCTAGTATTATGTTGCCGTTTATATTTACCTATATGTTTTATTTTTAGCATTCCAGGCAAATGATAAGTTGTTTATGGATGGCTTAGATATAACCCAAAGGCCTATAACAACTGCGCCAGTTATAGGTTGGTATTCAAAATGTCGAAATTATTATTTTGCAATATTTCTGAAAATTATCTAGAAAAATTAATGATTACTTGAAAATATTACAGTTCCAGAAAAATTGAAACGTTTGGCTTCTACAATTATACAGAATAACGGTAAGCTTTATAAGTAAACGACGACTCTTGCCTTTTTTGCATTAATTCTGTAAGCCTGATTCTTTAGCATGTATCGACTGTTGTTTGGTCGTTTGTTAATTTTTACATTGTTACCAAAAGGCCAAAGATCAAATTCGATCTATCTAAATCATGCAATGGAAATAGATCAAGATGCCTCGCGCATCAATTTTGATAAATCAGTCGATAAAGGTGTGATTCTTTACATAATCCTCAGCTATTTGCTTATTTATTATATTGGATTTCATTCAATAATCTATTTGCTTTTGTATAAAGGGAAGAACACTGCTATAACGAATGGCAAAAGTTCATGGAATGCAGGTTAATGGTTCATCTTGTTTTGAGCTTCATAAATCGATTGTTTTATTATTATTTTTTTTTTTTAAATATTGATTTTTAATTATTACAGAATTTGCCTCATCTCCAAATGGCCATAGTCAATATTCTAGCGATGAAATAAGTACACCCACTTCTTCACAAAATTGGCATTCGTAAGTCATGTTTTTTTCTCTTGATACATTCGTGTTTTTATTCACACTTATTTGATAAGTTATATGCGCTCTAAATTTTTAGATATGATGATCTTCCAAGTGTATCAACACCGATAATTGACGGATCTCGTCAATCCGATTATATGGTGAATATTAGAAATTCTTCACATCTTTTATAAAATGATATATATATATATATATGTATATGTATTTGCTGAATTAAGACATTATTACCTTTGATTCCTTGATAAGATCGAGAATCACCGCAAAGTACTAGAATCTAGTTCAAAGTACCCACCATTAACTGTTGAACAACAGGTTCAAGTAAGAAAATTCAAATGATAATTTGTTTTAAAAGTTTAATTTATACAAGACATTTGGAACCTACTAAACATTCAATATAATATTACAGATCGCAAAGTATCTGGATTTACATGGAGAATATACGCCTGCGTGTACGATAATTGATAAGTTTAACTTACAAATATCAGCAGCTCATATTCGCACGTTGACCAATGGTTCTTGGCTCAATGATGAGGTATGATTCCTTCCTCTCTCCCATTTTCTTTAAATACGTAATTTTGTTAACTCAAAGAAACGCTTTTTTTTCAATTGTGGTTATTTAGGTCATGAATTTTTATGGTCATCTTATTATTGAGCGAGCTCAAAACAATCCTGACATATATCCACCGGTTCATGTAGTTAATACATTTTTCTACACGAAACTAATGCAAAATGGATTCGGGGTTGTAGCAGGGTGGTACATTCCACGACCAAATAAAAAGAAAAAGGTATAAGTCATGTGATCTTTTATTTTACATAATCTTTTTTTTAATGTTTATCTTTTATGAAAATAGGCACCGCCACCAAATTTCTTTGATAAAGATTACATATTCATACCCATTAATACAAGTGCACATTGGACTTTAGCCGTGGCGAATTTCAAACTATGTAGATTCGAGTACTATGATTCTCTTGGCTCAGGGTTTAACCAACGTTTTCTTCTTGTAAGTGGAAATTACATAGCAATTTTTACTTAGTTTTATTCAGGCTTAAGTTAATTGGCACGTTAATAATGTTTGTAGGAACTGAGACAGTTCTTTATATATCTGGCAAACCAAACTAATAATCAGCATTTCAATTTTGCTGAATGGGCTACCTATGAACCGAGGGTAATAAAAAGTGCTTTTTTTTCTTTAAAAAGAAATCCATATTTTCATTATCGAACAAAAAGTAAAAAAAAAAATTTGAAATTTCAGGGAAGAACTCCACAACAGAACAATTCATATGATTGTGGAGTTTTTGCAATGATGACAGCGGAACACATGAGCCGGAATGCGCCTCTATCATTTTCACAATCAAAAATGGGATATTTTAGAGCGAAAATGGTGTATGAGATTAGCACAGGAAGTATAATGGATGAAAATGAAAATGTAGAAGTTGAAGACGAAGATAGTTTTGAAGAGCACTTAGAAAATATGGGACAAGTTACGTTAACACCAATTTCCGGATTAATCATTAAAAAAAATATTATATCGATATAAATTCTTTATTAGTTTAAAATGGCCCAAACCGAAGAAATGAAGCCTTTATTAAGTATGAGTAATATTTCATACTGTATATATAATGCTGCAGTAAAAATAATATCAGATATTGAAATTGAATACAATTTTAATATTGAAATATTTATAAAAGTCAATAAAGATGCATGAACAATTCACATAAAGATTGCGTCAGAAAATTTTATTTGCAATTATAGAAATGCTTCGCGATTTCGTTAATTGCGGTTATTTCAGACAAGCCGGGCGTCTTTCTTTATAATATTGATCATAGATGAACAAGCTAAAGGTTCTTTAGTAGTCGAATCGATTGTTTCAATGCTCTCATCAATTCGTGCTGGTTTTCTTTTTTTGACTTATAATCATTATAGATTGAAACTTTTATATAAAATATTACTCGGTAGAACACATTATAGTTCAGGCAGCTTTTGTACAATGAAAAAAAAAGAAAATTAGTCAAAGGTAAAAAAAAAACAGTTTTCAGAATAGCTGCCATCTAACTTGAAAAATACGAGCCTCGATAGTTGCAACTTTGTAAAGAAAAAAGACTGTTAGCAAACGCATAATTTATCGCAAATGTTAAAGCAAGTAAAGAAAACCAAATAGTTTTATTTTCTTTAAGCTGTATTATTATATTTAAAGCCAGTAAATAAAATTAATAAGTTATTACTTTTAGTTCATTTGTAAAAAATTTAAATCGGTTTTTTTCCTTAAAAAAAAAAACCATTAATATAGTATATTACACATGTCCCATGACAAAAGGTAACACAGTTGCTATATTTATATATGTATTAATATTTGGTGTTTTAAGTATATAAAATGTTTATTTAACATGTTTAAAAATTTTAAAAGGTAAAACCACGATTAATTGTCGGAAGTTTTTTTTGGCTAAGTAAATCTTGAGATTTTATAGAGCAAATTATTGTGATAAATTGGTTCAGTAAGTTACGAGTTATAGTGAACCGAACGAGCCGCGAGTCAAATGGCTAAGCCGAGCCGGTTAACGCTCTAAAAACGGCTCGGCTCAAAGCTTTGGAGCCGACCATGAAGCTGCTAGGGTTGGAGGCATGGGAAAAATTTGGGCATGTCTCTTCTTATTGTGCCCGGGGCATGCTGCTCTATATATACCAAGTCTATACTGTTAGATCTAATTACTATATATATAAGATTTAAAAAATTTCAATTATCTTATTTTTAATTCGAATTTTTTTTTAAAAAAAAAATTTTTAGTAATACTGTCAGTTTGTTTACTAGATTCTAATTTTTTAAATATTAATGGTGTAGATTCTAATTTTTTTTATAGTACAATTTGCATTTACATATATTTTACAAGATCAATAATTACTAGTACTATATTAGTTATTCTAATTTTACTATATTGACTTTATCTAGCTATCTATATAGCATCAAAGTCTGTGTTCACTGCATGTTTGCATGCAGTTATCATGTAACTACTTGTGATTAGAATATATAGGTCGTATTATTACTTCTAATACATCATATTTTATAAAATTAATTAAAAAGCTTATTAATAATATTAAATCTAACTGCTGGAAAGAATTCAATAAGACATAACATTAGGATATACAGTAGAACAGAAAATAACAGAAGGAATATGCAACAGCAATGTAACAAAATATAGACAGGCAGCAATTGCATATGCAGATGATACAACATGGATTGCTAGCAACAAGAAGCAGTTAACGAAAATTCTTAGAATCGCAGAAAAGTTTTTTACAGTCAATGATATTGAAATAAATGGGTCCAAATCAAAGCTAATAGTAATAAATACTAAATACAAAACTGAGAAAAGAGAAATCATATTTGGTCAAAATAAAATAATAGAAGAACCAAAGAACAAGATTGTGAGATCTTGAGGAATCTGGTTAAACAGTAGAATAAAAGAGTCATTAATTTGCAAAAAAACAAAAGGAATAGTTAGTCAAACAGTTAAAGACTTAAGATACAAGAAAATGATAATGAGCCAGATCGTATATATAAACAATATAGTAATAATTCTAAAACTAGGTTATCTTTTACAACTGACAAAGATGTCAGAAAAGACAATCAATAAAATACATCAATCACTAATATGCCTAACAAAACACAAGTGCAATATGATGAAAACAGCGAACAACTGCATAGTGGAGCACAAAGATTTAGGCAACTGCAAGTCACTAAGTCAAGAAATAATAACAAAGCAAATAAGTAGTCTCTTTTTGTGACTTAATAAAAAAGATAGATTAGGTGAGCTAACTAAACTTAGAATAATACAAGAATGTTAAATCGCAGGGTTAACAGATGATATTTGAAATTACAAAGAGAAACTAGAAGAAAAGAAATATTGAAAAAACAATTTAGCCTGTCATACAATAGCTAAAGCCAAAGAGATAGGCATAACTATCAAAACAGAAGACACTTTATGAAAAGTGTACAGATATGAAAAACAAATAAGAGACATAATAGAAACTAAAATATAGGCAACAAGTAATAGTACAATAAACAAATGGTGACTGCTATATTTAAACTAGCTTATAGATCCAAAAGGTGAAAGTCTAATTATATGGAGACAACTCAAGTACCATCTAGGTCTGTAATGTAAGGAAAAAAAGGCCAAATGGTTTGGTGAAATAGAAAGAAAACTGCTAGTATCACAAACAAGCAAAGAAATACATGACAACTATAAAACAAACAGTTACACACTCAAGCATTAAAAATCAAATGGACAAAGTTGTCAGAAGATCGAAGAAAAAAAGAATGGATTATATATGGGGCAAAATACAATCAATGACTCAGCAAAGTAATCAAAAAGAAAGAGAAAAAGATACTAGCAGAGCATTGGGTAATGAAGAAAGAAGAGGGGGAAATAATCATAGAAATAAGTAAATATAAAAGTTGTGAAAACAAACCAGAGAAGACATCAGACAACTGCGAGAAATGGATAAAACACGATTACAATACAAAAGTAGTTCCAAAAACAATAATCAAAAAAGACAATAACAGAATTAATGTAATACTTGAACAGATAACAGACAACAGAATAACAGAGAATTGGAGAAAAGACGAAAGAAACCTAATAGAAATAAAATGAATAGAAGAATTAGAGGTAGAGTTAATTAGAAAACAAGGAATAAGCAATAAAATTGTGAATCACTTAATAGAAATTTTAGCAAGAAATAAAAGAAGAAACAAGAACAAGTATACCTTTTATACAGATGAAGCACTGTATAAAAAGAAGGCAGAAGATAGTACAAGAAAAATGGACATCAGCACTATAAAAAAATATTTATATTATTTTTGTTTAATAAATATATTAATAAATGTGTTCTATTTGTATAAATTTTTGT